CATATATTCCTACTCCAACACTGTATAGGAAACTCCTGAGCTCAGCTGAGGAAAGCGAACATATATTCCTACTCCAACACTGTATAGGAAACTCCTGAGCTCAGCTGAGGAAAGCGAACATATACTTCTACTCCAACACTGTATAGGAAACTCCTGAGCTCAGCTGAGGAAAGCGAACATATACTCCTACTCCAACACTGTATAGGAAACTCCTGAGCTCAGCTGAGGAAAGCGAACATATATTCCTACTCCAACACTGTATAGGAAACTCCTGAGCTCAGCTGAGGAAAGCGAACATATACTCCTACTCCAACACTGTATAGGAAACTCCTGAGCTCAGCTGAGGAAAGCGAACATATATTCCTACTCCAACACTGAACTAAACTAACAGAACCTGCTTACCGGTCCTCCCTCAGATCGTTAGCAAAGAGAACGCCTTGGTTCTGCATCATCTGCCCAATGTAAGTAGTCTTGCCACCAGGAGCTGAAGGGTAATCCATAGGTCCCGGGTTCGATCCCGGCACTCGTCAATTCTACCTGCACTCATATCTAGCACAGTCTCCCCTGGCTGGGCATTGAGAGCTTGAACAGGAACGAACGATGATGCGGACTATGCAAAAAAAATCACAATATCGGAAAAAATCGCGCACTTACCTGCAGCATATAACGGCCCGAGAGGTACTCCGGAGTGGCTCCAATAGGCACCTTCGACTCCTTCACAGTCAGGCCGACCTGAACACATCGAAATTCTCCCGAAAATGTAAATCTCGCTCGCCCGCCAACCTTCGTCCACTCTCCCGTTGGTTCCACCTGGCAGCCTCGAGCGATCAGCTGCTGTGCCAAAAGACGCCTCCGAGTCTGTTGAAAAAAACTTCGCTCCGCCTACTTTCTGATTCTTCCCCCCACCTTTATGGTGTTGGCACGAATTGTCATCGGTCTCGGCCTGTCGTTAGCCTCGAATAACTGCACGGCTTCGCCAGGAGCGAACATGTCCAAAATGTACCTAAGGAAAAAATTCGCATCATCGCATACCGCAGATCCTCTTACGCTGCTAGTTCTTCATTATAGCCATAGTAGTTGGCACACAGTCGGCCTGAAAAATATCCATTTTGTACAATTTGCTTCGCTCCGCCCAGTTT